AAGCTTCCTCAATGTGTAACTGTTTAGTTTTATTGATGACTTTTTCCTCTATCTTTGTATAGAATAATATTTGCATAATATAATAATAAAAATTCCGTGTTTAGTTTTTTTACTTGATCCATGGATTTAACTTAAGATATTAAAACATATATTTCGCTAAAATGCTATATCTTAAAAATTAGAGCTCCTAGGCAAAAACTAATGCCATATTTGAATTCAGGACATCAAATTCATATGAAATCAGCTCAAAATACCTGGGCACCAAAACCACTGTTGACCTGTGTAATCAATACGTAGCTTATTTGTGGCAGGACTCTGAAAATTCTTTACTTATCTGGAATAACTGTGTTTATTCTGTCTTAATTTTTAACCACGTCCAATAGCTTCGATAACTGAGTAACGCCAGGATGTGCAAATTAGGCAAGGATACAAACGAGTACGAAGTATGCAAGTATGAAAGTTTTTCTTCATAAACCTGATTATTAAAGACAAACAAACTGCCGAATTATTGGGCTATGATGTTTTTATTAAAGCAGTCGAGGTAGACAAAATCAAGAATACTAGAGAAGAAAAGAAGTAGACTATTACAATCTCGAAAACGAACTAGAAATCTTCCGGGTTACAGATGAAAAAACACATCTGTCTTGTCTTAAATTTATACATTAAACACGATTCCAATCACATCAATTGAATCGGAATGGGCATTCTCGGTAGCAAGACTTTTCATTACTAAAATAATCAGATTGTGTGATCGGAGTATCGACCATCTTTGCTTTTTAAAATCTTATAAAAATGTATAATAATATTTTGTATTATGTTTTATTTAAAAAACGAAAATTACCTGCTAAGTCCCGACTTTTTAGAAAGATTAAATTTTTGTCAATTATGTGTCATAAACTTGCGTCTTATGTTTAAATTATTGAGGTAATGTAAGCTTAATAAACAATTTCCAAACACAGAACAATTTACATTTGATTTTCTCATTTTTAATATTATAACTCAGATACAAATTAAATAACAATAATTGACTTACTCCGCTGGGTACGGTTTTCGAAATGTTTCAGATACAACGCTTATTCATTCTTTAGCAAACTCCTATGTGTTATGTAAATATTTGCCATAAGGGTAACGCACGAGTAACTTTCACTGGGGGAGTCTATTAGCTAAGCCAAGTGGAATTGATTCACAGCAAGGTCGTTGCTTCAACTAACTACATCTAATTATAACAGTTATATTAGCGATGTAACGCCAGGAGCGTAGGCAACTCTTTAGGTTCCTAAAGAGTTGCCGCAGTGAAGACAGAAACTTTGAAATGCGCTTTATTAGCAAGTGAAAACGGATGCTTCCACTTCGAATCTTTGTGATATTGTATTATGCTACGTATAAAAATACTTTATTTTATAATAATATAATTACCTTTTGTCGGGCGGATGGCCGAGTGGTCAAGGTGACAACCTACCGCTCTGGGGGTCTTGGGATCGAATTCGGACAGGTCGAGGAATCACCAGGAATTTTTCAGGGTTGGTCCGACCGGATATATCTGGTTCCATACTGCCGCCTCATTGAGGGCATGGCGGAACCCATAATGGGCTTGCTTAAAGAGCGCCCATTGTTGGTGCCCACAAGGCGGAAAAAGTTAATAAAATAATTGAAGATATTAATTTAAATATTATAAATAAAGTGATTAATACAGAACACCATCGTGTGTCACTATGACTTTTTAAAGTTATAAAGCTCAATGTTTTCGCCTACGTAAAATTAACGCCTGTGGCCGGAGCCACATTTGCCATAGCCTCACTACGCCTCTGATGATTGGTTTTTATGATCTCGAACACAGATTATATGTCACAGCTGCCTACTGTAAAACCTTAAAATAGTGTTTATGCGAGGAGTAGTGTTGGAAATCGAAGATGATTGCCAAGGTACTTTATTTAAGTCATTTTTCATTGTATCTTGGACAGCCTAAATCTTCCTTAGGGTAAGCTGTTTTCCCTCTTTCGCTATATTAAGGCGCCAGAATACTACTTTCTTAGCAAGAATGAACGTGAAAAAAAAAAAAAAATGGCCTCCTTGGTAGACCAAGACGAAAGATTTTTAAAACGTTGGAAAGATACGTTAAAAATATATTAATTTTGCAGGAAAAATTGTAAAAGTAAAAAAAATAATATTGTAAATTAATATAGAATCAGTCTTTAAAAAGGAAATAAATTGAAAATACGTTTTTTTTTTTCATAAATAAATTGATTTTCATCTTAAGAGGGCGCTGTTTGTTGTTTTGCAGAATTTCGCGGGATAGTTGTCGCGGGATAATTATCGAACTATTTATGATACAGTAGGATTTGTTAATTTAAATTATTGGTCTATAAATTAGACATATAGAGTAAAACAATTTGATAACCTTACGTGCAGAGTGGCTACACTTTCCCATGTGTGCTAATTAGAAGTTACCTGTATGCTTCTTCCCTTGTCCATACTAATTTTAATTTTTTCATGTTTTACAGACCACATTCATGTTGATAATTGAAAATATGGTAAAAGTTCATCCTTTATACATGGGGCACTTTTACCTTGTGCTGTCATAAAATTATGGTCACAATGAATGAATAGTTAGTTATATATATGCTTACCATTTTAAATGCAACAAGTCTGACTGCACTGGATCAGAATATTACTCAAATATGTTCAGAACAATTCCTTACTCTCAAAGTTAACCTTAGAACACAAAGCATTGTCATCTTTATGACGCAAGTTTGTCGATTGTTATTTTTCTCCTTGTTGTTTTGCACTATCTTGCTGTAATTTTCGGTACCTTCTTACACTGTTGCTGGGATTGTCATAACAAGTTTAAATTTTTAAAATTGTTTTTGTTTGTGGATAATTGAAACTGTTGTCATCAGTTTTATGAAGCTTTATGACAACATGGTGCCTAGAATAAGGATGATTATATTTATATTTTGTTTGTATATGAATTTTTTCTTTACGTGGCATAATTCATGTAAATTCTTTTTTTATTCTTTAATTTGCTTTCTCTGTCTGCTTCAGAAAATCCATATATACACATTTCTCCAAAAATAATTATTACAGAAAAATAATCATTGCTGCTCTGTGCAACTTGCTAGTCAATCAACTTGTTTCAATCCAAGCAGAAATTTTATTTATTTTATTCCTTTGCCTGTCCAACAGGCAAAGGAAATGAAGAGAAATGGTTTCTTTATCCAAATGAAGAGTTAACCATTCCATGGATGTAGAAGCTAGAATTGCACACCTTGCAGATACAATTGCACCTCTTCTTAGAAAATGTTTTACAGAAAAATCTTGCCATTCTCAGAGAGAATCCAATGTCTGAGAATGAAATAACAATTTGTCACATCTACTATTCGAAAAAACAATTTTACTGCTAGATATTGCAGCCAATGCAACCACATATACAGCAAGGAATATCATGCTAATCAGTGTGTTAATTGCTGCAAATAAATTTTATAATAATAATTCAGTGTCTGAAATTGTATCAAATCTAGTATATTACATTATATATTCATTATATTGCTGTCAGTCAGTATTCTGACATGAAACTAATTAATAAAAATTAACAACCATAAAATTCACAAAGCTTTATATTGATACTAATGATTTATTCTTTGTGATCTAGGGTTAATTCAATTATCTTTCTTAACATTATATGTTACTGAACATGATCCAGTTCCATACCCATCTCAGGAAAATTTAGCATCCAAATATTCTCTAACTGGAAGACTTGGACACATGAAATTGTATCCTAGGGTTTTAAGGCCATTCTCTGCATAAAATAAGGGTTTCATAGTCACTCTATACATCAAATAATGTTACTTGACTATTATTGTTACTTCTATATGAGAAAAGACCCTATCCGTAATAATTTATCTTTAATTCATATTTCCTTTATAATTATTTTTTAGATTAATAGAAGTAGAAAATAAAAATGCAAGAACAAACTGATACGTCAGAAAAGTCTTTAAATTTGAGCCATTCAATAGCTGCTCCAGGTAATAAACTTTTGTTTATTACACCAAATTAAATATATTTTTGATTAATAAAATAATTTTGTTATTAGGTTTAAAAACAATAGAATTAAATGACTATAAAGCTGGAATGTCTGGTTTAGATAAGGAACAAATTAATAGGATAATTTATAATGCTTCAAAAGGATCACCGTATTTTCTGTATCAAGAGAAACGTCAACAAAGAATTGACAAAAAAGTACAAGAGATGAAATCATACTTAAATACAGTAACAGAGATTCAGAAAAAAACTGCAAAATACAAAGCAAGTTGATTTAAAATTAATATTTTAAAAATTAATAATAAATTTAATTATGTTTTTATCAATATATCTGATTTCAGATGGATATATTAGCAAAGAAATTAGAAAAAGAATGTGATTTGAGTCATGTTATAGTTCATTTTGATATGGATGCATTTTATGCTGCTGTAGAAATGCGAGATAATCCAGAATTCAGAGATAAACCAATAGCTGTTGGATCAAATTATATGCTGGTATTATTAAATTATCTCCATATATATATATTAAATATACCCCATTTTAAGATTTTTAATGTTAGAATTTTATTTTATTTCTTTTATAGTCCACTTCTAATTATATTGCCAGAAAATTTGGTGTTAGAGCTGCAATGCCTGGTTTTATTGCCAAGAAACTTTGCCATGATTTAATCATTATCCCTCCAAACTTCGAAAAATATAACAAAGTTAGTCAAGATGTATTTACTGTCTTAAAATTGTATGATCCAGATTTTCTTCCAATGAGTTTAGACGAAGCTTATGTTGATATAACTGATTATCTACATAATCATTATAAGGCATCACTTACTCAGAAAATTAGAGAGGAATGGTGTTGGAATGATGCCGAAGAATCAGTTTGTATTGCTGAAATTGTGGATAAAATTGTTAATGAAATAAGACAGAAAATATTTGAAAGTACACAGCTAACAGTAAGTGCAGGTAAGCAATAATTTTACTTTTCTGGCTGTTGTTATTAGCATATATAGCTTTTTATAAAACTCATCTCTACCCTCAGAATTAAGCTTTTTGCAATTTTGTAATAATTAATAATATAAAAAATTTTTTAAATAAAATTTTATAACAGATGGNATGAAAATTTTGACAGTGCTCTGTCTTATTTTCTATTAAATTTAAAAATAGTTTAAAGAATAAGGAGCAATAAAAGGGCCTTTTTTATACATATATTGATGATCAGGCCAATGAGGCAGCCAAATAAGGTAAAATCTGGAGCTACCGTATAAATTCAACCACGAAAATTTGAACCAACCGTGAGTTCAAGAAACAAGCTCACTGGTCCTTATCACATTTGCCCATCTGCCTCTGTCCCAACTGGATCCAACCCGAAAATCTTTTAATTTGGCAGATTTCGCCACATTCCTTCATGCAAATAAAGAAATATACTTTTAAATTGGCTCTCTGTCCTTATAAAAGCTCGGGTCATTTATTAATTTTAAACCTACTTATTAGTTTTTTTTTTTTTTAATTTTTGCTCGTTATGGCATGTCACAACAGAAATATAATTAATTTAGCTGTCAAAATTTATTTTTATTCAATATGTAAAAAAAGCAATGAATTTATATCCTGTTAGCCTGATATATTATCACGTCACATATCTTAATCATCAACAAGACTGACCAACAGATTGCCAAAAATGTCCTTGAAAAGCTCATCTTTTATTGATTGCTCAAGACTTTCTGTTTAAATAATATCAAAAGAAATTGGATATCTTCTTACTTTTTGCTATTAAAGATTTAATCAAGTTTTTAAGATAATTTAGGAACATTTTGATTTAAAGTTTTACAATTTAAATATATTCAATATATTTAGATGATAATATATTATTTTAATATTTTATTCATATATACAGTATATTATATATGAATAAAACATACATTGTATTTCAATACTAATAATGCTGTAAGTTGTAGGCCCTTTCCCTGAATAAACATTTGAATCACCTTATATTTTTATTTAAGTATAATATATTTATATATAACAGTTTTTAATATTTTAATATAAACATTTGATTTTTTTCAGAACATGTGGAATAAGCCAAACTTTGCATTAGAAGATTGTTTAGTCAATATAATTGATTGTCATACCAGTATTATACTGAAATCATTCTTGTAATTTGATATTGTTATAGCTGTTGTAGCTTTATTACTATCCAAATAGCTAATATTCTACATGTAATTCAAGATATAACTTTGTAAATGATACACACATAGAATATATGAATTATCTCTGACTGATTTAATCTATATCTGTAAGTTAAATTACAGAATCTATCTCAGAATTATTTTAAATAAGTTAATTTAGACATGATATTTATTAACTTTGGTAAAAATTATTAGTTAAAAATATGAAATAATAAATATTTCTTGTTGTTATATAATAAATTAAGTAATTAGCTCATTCATATGTAAAGCATTTTAAATAAAATTATTGTATATCCTATGTTAAAACTAATACTTTTAATTTTATCATTTGGAAGTATCATTTATTTATTTTTTCCTTAAACCTTTTCACTCTGTGGGCACTAAGAGTGTCTTTTAATACCCACTGTGTTCAGCCAGGCCCATAAATAGAGTGGCCAGATGGTAAGGAATGGAGTCCAACATATCTGGATCAACTTGTGAAAATTTAAGTTGAAATTTCAGACTCGCAGATCCCACAAAGCAGCAAGTTGGATGGAATCTTTACTATCTTGGCCATCCTGCCAGCTAGAAATATTTTAAAGTTTGTTGTCATTATTTAATTGTTATTAGTTGTATTACTGTCTTCAGAAGATATCAGAAAATTTTGTAATATAAATAAATTATTAGAGTTGTCTTAAGAACATTTTCTTGATTGTATCTAATATTGTCTCCTTGAATATTTATACCATAAATAAAACTAGAATTGTGAATTTCTGACTTTACTTCAAGTCTAGTTTATGAACTCCCTACTTTGTAAGCCAAAATAATAATAATACAGTAGAACCTCGAAAACTCGGCTCTCGATAACCCGGCACTCCGGATAACTCGGCCACACCCTGGCAGGGCAAAAAAATCCTTAGTTAATTAATTTTCATTATAGACAGCTTTATAAAAGTATAAAAGCTCTCATAAAGTATTTTTCTGAGGTCTGTCTTATCAGGTAAATTACTGTACACAGTGTATTCATTAATTTTCATTTTCATGTAGTA